TGTTTTATTTGTTCTCATCAGTAGGCATAAATGTTGGCCTGGCGGTTCGGGAGAGTTCATAACGGTCATGTTTGAGTAGTGGCTGAGCTCAAACCGGGTATCAGCACCCGTGACCGAATGTGGAGCGAGCCGATGGTCTCAGCCCCATTCCTCAAGGACCGCGTAAAAAACACCTGCGGACAAGTTACATTTGGTTTGTGTTTGGATCGTTTTGTTCGGCACGGCGCCCGACGTTTCGCGCTATGTGCTGGGAGCTTCTTCAGGAGCCGAGAAAGCTCCCAGTACGGACATCGCTGCCGAACCCACACGCGGTACAACCTGAGCACGAGGGGCACAAAACGTCCGCACGCAGCGAGAAGCACAAGTGAGCACAAGTGAGCCGTGGTGTGAATTGGGATGCCTACTGAAACACTGTCCCCCCAGCTGTTGCGTATTGACACAAGGTATAGCCGGGCTCCGTGTTGTGTTTGTTCTGCCTTTGTGCCTCTGGCAGTGTGTAAACAGACACTGCTGTTTCTACTCCCAACACGCCATGAGATCACACACCTTGTGTTACAACACGGCAATGAGCTCACTCGGCTGACAACGCTGAAGTTCTGTGTCCGAAGTTCTGTGTCCGACTCCGGGGTTCCTCCCCGTTTAGAGGACATCGTCGTCGTATTTGTTTTCATTGAAAGCCGCTGACGAAATATTTACAACATCTGTTGTGAACCTGATCGCACCCAGCCCAACGGTGATGACGGGAGACTTCAGAAGAACGTCGAACACAGCAGCAGCGGTACGGGGGTCAAGGGAGGCAAAGAGAGCGATCGTGAGATTGAGCTCCTGCAACTCTTGCACAGTCCACGACAGCCGACCTCCCAGGCCTGTTCTGAGAGTCTCCCACTGTCCGGCTGAAGCTCTTCTCCTTGGTCCCTGACTGTTCGTGGGCTGCCACTCCCGGGTCCGCCTCGGTGATCTGTCCTGCACATGAGCCCTGCCCAACAACCTCCTCCTCCTCCTGTCGACCACCAGTACTGCTCAAACCAGCATGGCTCAACTTCGCTGGCAGCCTTAGAGCTCGTGGGTGGAAATTCCACATTCCTATGGTGGGAGGCAATAAGGCCTGAAGACAACAACAGTTGCCTTCCCAAAAAGTGGCGACCGTTTCATTTACGACCGAGCGATGGTGAACGATGTCCAGCGAGGGGCTGGGAGTGACTAAGTCAGCGTGTGTGCAGGTGCGAGGTGGATTATAACGTCACACGCTTGTCAGAGATGGAGGTGGCTGGAGGAGGCCTTCGTCTCAATGCAGACCGACCATGGCTGATGACGGGCTGATGACGGGCTGATGGGATGATGAGCTGATGGGTTGATGGGCTGATGAGATGATGGGCTGATGGGCTGATGGGCTGATGGGCTGATGGGCTGATGGGATGACGGGCTGATGACGGGCTGATGACGGGCTGATGACGGGCTGATGACGGGCTGATGACGGGCTGATGACGGGCTGATGACGGGCTGATGACGGGCTGATGACGGGCTGATGACGGGCTGATGACGGGCTGATGACGGGCTGATGTGATGATGGGCTGATGGGATGATGGGCTGATGAGCTGATGGGCTGATGGGCTGATGGGATGATGGGCTAATGGGATGATGGGCTGATGGGATGATGGGCTGATGGGATGATGGGATGATGGGCTGATGGGATGATGGGATGATGGGCTGATGGGCTGATGACGGGCTGATGGGATGATGGGCTGATGACGGGATGATGGGATGATGGGCTGATGGGCTATTGATCCACAATCGCGACAACAACTCGCAACGTTCCGGTTGGGGGTCGAGCAATCAAACTCCATTTAAGCAAGTTCCATTTAACCACGTAACAATTCTTCATATAAACTTACACACGGCCGCATATACTTACACACGGCCGTGTTAACTTACACACGACTGCGTATACTTACACACAGCTATATATACTTAGGAAGCCACTGGAGCTATGCACTTTTAAATCTAGATTAGAAACTCACTTTTTAAGAACTGCTTGTTGTGTTTAGTTTGTTGTCCGTCCCCCCGCACCTCCGATTAGCACGGTTGGCTACGTATGGTTCGAAAGAAGTTAAACTCACATACACACAACCACATACAAAGGCCTTCCTGGTGTATGTGAAACTAATGTCGACTACAGACAGTGCTCACTCGGCACCTATCTCTCTGTTAACATCTCACCTCCACCTTGATCTGAACGCCATCTCTCTCGCCCTCCGCCTCTCCTCCTTGCACCCTCATTTCTCCGTCCCGTATCTCTCAGTTTGCCTCTCTCTTTCATTCACCCCCGGCTTGCACTCTCTCCTCTCTCTACACACCCGCCTATCAGTATCTCACTTCATCAAAGCACAGCACACACGCAGCGTCCACCCCAATGCGTCGCGAGCAATGCATTGCCGTAAACACTTTAGTAAACGACCGGCTACGCTGAGTATAAATAATAAATCGTTGCAGCCCTTTGTCATTCCACTGATGAATGCAGGCCTCTTTGATGCCGTGCCGGTCACGGTGGTTGTTCGACAATACTTCACCATGCTGGTCAGTGCGGGTCCGTCAAGGTGGGGGCCCGGGAACGGTTCAAATACCACTCGCCAGTGACGCTGCGACTGTGGCCGGGAATTGAACTCGGGTCGCCAAGGTCATCGTGGGGCAATGCTCCGATCACTGCGCTACCACTCCCCCTTTCCGTAAGCTACTCAGCGGCTGTCACGGCACAGGATTACCGTCCCTTGACATGTCCTGCTCCATGGCTGTTATGGTTAGCCACAAGCTTCTGGGCTCTCCCATTTACAGAGGAACCGTGAGATGACCTTTTCCCCCCCCATCCCCCCTTCGCCGCCCCTCCCCAAGATCTGTGACAGCCGAGTTCTTGGTAGTTCCTGGAAGCCGTCTATGAGCAGGCGTGGGACCAAGGGCCTTGAGTTTTTATGCCCACTGCCTCCATGGCAGGTTACATCAGGAACGCTGTGGCACAATCAAATCTTTAAAATCGAACGTAGGAACGCTTCTGTTAGAGCTTGTGACTGATTGGGCAATGGCATTGAGTTTTTTTTCCTGCACAGTGGCCAGGGGATGCTCTGCATCAAGAGGGCGAAATAACAGCAACCCGTTCTCCATTTCAAGATTTTATTTATTCAAGAATGTGAGCATTGTCATCGGCTTCGGCTCGTGCAAGGAAAGCAGCGTCCAGTGCATAGAGATCCCCCAATGTAAACTGCTGCCCATCGTAGCAGAGCACATCTTCTGGGGTTAAAAGCAACTGATGTAGACAGTTGCAGTTCAAATCCCGGATGGGGTTGACTCCTCAGCCCCTGATTTTTCAGGGACCTATATAGTACGTAACACTTTAGAGGGGAGGTCTACAGGCGTTGTTTGATGATAGACCGGCCCATATGGAATTTCCATCTCTGACTCGGGGCCTCCAATGGAGACGAGCACCACCGCTATAACGCTCATACACGGCGACAACCACGCAATTAGATTAACTCTCTTTGAAAACGCCGCATACAGCAACACTTTCCACTACTTCTAGAATCTCACGCAATTGTCGATAAGAGATTACTTAAAGAAAATATAATCCCGCTTGCAGCATTCCTGTTTTGCAAGGTGCGCATGCTTCTGACAGCAAGTGCAGACCACGTGTCTCTCAGTGTTCTGGGTCCCACGCGGCCTGCATCTTTGCAGCGCCGCGTGTCGGCGCGTCTGCACGTGAAATCATCACTCCCGTTCTCACGCCCTATCTCCTCCATCGCCGCGTCCCTCCCCGCGCGTTCCTCCCCGCCCAAGCGCAAAGAAAGCGCTGCTGCGTGTGTAGCAGCCGACGGGCATTCCTCGTGTCTGCACGACGCTCACGGCCCCCTGGCTCCCAGGCAGCTCCTATCTCTCATCTTCCACGTCTGTGCCTTAGCGTGCGCTCTGTGCATATGAGCGATGCGCATGCAGCCTATGACTGAAAGCGTCCCATCTCGTCAGATCTCAGAGCCTGGCTGGCAGGATTGAGCCTGAATGGGTGACCAGCCCACACGACGGTCGAAGCTCTTCAGGGCTACGTTGTCAGCAGGGGTCAATTCACCAACACCGATTGTCGTACTGAATCACGTCCTTACTACGTCTATGCTCCCGACCTTCGGCAGCCTGCACTGACCAGCCTGGTGAAGTATGGCCAAACATCTCCCATGCCCCATTCGGCGTGGGGAGGGCCCTCATACAACAGTGGATTGCCAAGGGGGCTATATATTCACATTGTACACGTATGTAAACATGCGTGTACAATTGCTATGAGCGCACATGATATACGGAAGGCCTCGCGTCAAGCGGACAGCTGCTGGAGGAGTGGACCGTGAAGGTTGGGTGTCGACTGAAATATTTGCAAGATCAGGCTGAAGGAAGGAAGCGATGGCGAGTCCTGGTGGCATCAATGGCATTGCCCGCAGTAACCTACTCGTCTTCACACCGACGTATGCACGTGGGTATGATGCACGTGGCTATACTGCATTAGAAACGGCCGCGTATGTTTGGCTTTTTACAGACAACGGAGAGACTTCTGATTGGGTGGAAACTGATGCTGATGTCATCCACGCTGCCGCAAAACCAAGGCCATGATAAAAATGTTTGAAAATAATTACGAAACACAATTTCGTGTTTAAAAAATACAAATCGGAAGAGGAGTCCCGGCAAGGAGGAGACACTCACAGCAACTTTGATGATTTTTTATCTCCAAAAATTGGGTTGGAGAAGTAAATAAACAATAAGAAATGGAGAACGGCAGTAACCACCTCAGATATCCCTGCACGACAACCCATGAAAGTGAACTGACAGGAAACGATGGAGGAAATGGCGGCGGCTTTGGAAGAAGGCCCTTATCGGCATGCAACCACACCAGCACATTGAATGCTCACTACTAAAGGTCACGAACTGGACGAGTGAGCGACCGAATTAATACCGCACCCAACTCAACCACTCACCTGTCTGGGCTGAGCCCTGTTGCCAAAGTCGTACTGGAAGATTCCTCCGGTACAGATACCCAGCCACCAGGCAGTGCCCTGCTTGTCCTGCAACCACGCACAGGCAACATTCATTCATTCAAAATAAAAATCACCCGGATTGCTGTGGTCATAGACAGGGGTTGGTAGGAGAGAGCTGTGCAGGCAATGAGAACCACTGCCCTGTAACCCCCTTGCCTCCCCCCCACACCCAGTGAGATACGCAGCAGTGCCCGCCGAGGGTTAGGTCATGTGGTGAAACTCTCGCCGAGAGCAGTGCACCACCTTGCGTCAGAATAACGGACCGAGGTGGTGACGTCACGTAACCACTTCTGAATTCCCTTCAATCATGAAATTATCATCCAAGCTGGGCACTCGGCTGAAGTGGAAACGCTCTGCTCAGAGTGTTCGTTGCACGGCGGTTAAGTGAATAATGATAATAATTTACATTTGTAAGGTGAATTTCATCCGTCGATCCTCAGATGGAACGTTTTAACGCTCATCACTGCGACTGGGCCAACGAGTGACAAGTTGAAGCGACTAGCAGGGCCTGTGGGCGTCGCTATCGGCGAGCAAGCGGAGGACACCGACTCGCGACAGCACCGGGGGGGGGGGGAGGGGGGCTCTCGGATTAGTCTCCAGAATCCGTCTTCAGCGCCTGCGGTATTATCCTGCTCAGCCACCTGGTCACACCCACAATGCCACCGCACCACAACTTGTGTCGTGCGTCTCGTTCAGGCAGGACACTCACCTTCACGCCATAAAAGTGCACGCCATAGCTTGGAGAGGCTTCTATTATTTTCATATAACTGCGGACCACAAACCAACATCGATTAACACACTGGGCATTCATTATTATGATGATGATTACGAAGATGCTTGTTTACCCAGCAAAGCCTCCCCCCCGAGTCTCACGACTACTTTTCAGGAGGGTCTGGCCAAGTTGTTTGCAGAATTTTCCCAATGTTTTTATTCACATGACCTCTTCCAAGACATCTGACCAGCGTGGAAGAATAGGCAACATATCCTCAAAAGGGGCCTCCAATTGATCGCTCCAGTGGGGGTCTTTCTGCCTGCAGTGGCAATGAGTGAGCAGTTGCAGGACTGCACTTTCGCCTCTAGAAATGCTCGTGCGGCTCAAAGGGGCAATGCTGTGGCTACGTGAGAGCACTGAGCCAGCGTGGCTGCAGTGCCAAGATACAACCTGGGCAGCCATCCACGATCGACCAACGTTAACGTCCCACAGAGTGCTACTCGGTCATCCCGCGAAAGAGACCGGCCCTGACAGGGACGAAGGAAAGAGGATGCGAGGAACGTAGGAGAGAAAGGGAATTCTGACGGAGCGGGACAACGGACATCGACTGAGAGCGCCGCCGTGCTGGGCGACCCGCAGTGGGTTCCCAACGTGGCCACCGTGCATGCTGTGTGCGAGTCGACACGAAGGGGAGTCCGCCCAACCACACGGCACTGCGCTGGGAGTGCACAACCGATTAGCACGGTTGGCTACGTACGGTGAGAAAGAGGTTCAACGTACAAACATACATTCATCAATCGCAACTGGAAGAATGCGAGTTAAAACCGGAAAAACGGGGGTTAAAACTCGGCCCATCGTCCCTCGGCGGCCAATACAATTGATGACAGCTGTTTTTGGGAAGTATCGAGTGCTCGTGTTAAGGGTTGACTTGCTCTCGCTGCGAACGTGTGGAATGTCCACCGCTGGCTCAGGGCTGCCAGAGTAGAGGAACAGCAGTACCAGGGAGAGCATGGACACCGACCAACGTGTCGAGGGCTCCACTCGCACGCGACGCTGGAGAATTCGCATCTGGTTAAGACGTAGAGTGAGCCAATCACACTTCCAGGGTCGATAAATGTAGAACTCCTTTGTAGGAAATGGACTGCGATTTTTCTGCAGACAAGGATAGACTGGCCCCTGCCATGGGAATGTATAATCTAAAAGACAAATTGTTGAGATTTAATTGGTAAAACAAGTTTAAAAACTGCCAGTTGCAAAAATAGCTCTTCGTATTTATGCTCACTCACTTGACGATTGCCTGTCCCCTGGAATGTCCCTGGAGCTTCTTGTAATATTCAATCACCCGGCTCTCACTGCGGGCAGAGAAAGAAAGGAACGCAATGAAGAAGAATTGTCATTGTTTATACAAGCTATGTGAAGGAAAGCATTCAATTGGCAAAGTGTGCCAAAAAATAGTGTAAACGTCTTTTATTTACCCAGGAATGCCGTAAAACATTCAAACCGATGCTATTTCTAGAAAATGTTGAGTGTTTTTTTTACTATATTTAAAACAATTTCTGTGCAGGGTTCCTCCAATTGAGACCAGAGTGCCCGCAGAAAGCGGCGCACTGGAGAGGCGGCGTAACAAACAAAAATCCACACGCACCTACTTACTGTACTGCACCACTTATGTGCAAAATATAACAAAGACTGATTTTTTATTCATATGGAAGTAGATACGTAGGCCGCGTGTTCGTGGACGTATGACGCCGCTTGGTAGACACAACAAAAAGTTCAAGAGGCACTGAAAGTGGCGGCTGTGGTGACATTTCAGGTGCACGGCTACAGCGGCCTCCAGCAAGGCGGGCGAGGGCCTCTCCTCGCGAGTTGACGATGCCCGGCGTACGGAGGGGCATTTGAAACGCGTTGGCATCGGCATTTTATGGGCACCACCGTGGAGAGATGTTAACTACCACGCCTGGTATACAGGAGGTCATGGGTTCCATCCCGACCCTGATGCCTGCTGCTGTATATTTGGTGTTTGCGTGTCTCTCCCGGTGGTCACGTTCATTTTTCTACAGGGCCTCTGGTTTTTTCATCCACATTTAGAAACGTGCTCTTTTAGAGTATGTGGCTGCTATAAATGTCCACGTGACAAGCCACTTTCTTGAGCTATTATTGGTGGCCAGGTCGCTTCTGAAAAAGAGATATATACAGCTCGGTGAGCCTTGCCTAGTAAAATAAATATATATCTCTCATGATGCAGGGAAGAGAACTGGCTGCTTTATAATTTAATTTGGCTTTCAGAAGCAGATTTTAACTTCCTGCGATGTTATGGATCATTCCGGCAATTAAAGTAAGGGAGCCCTCGATCTTTTTTTAATGCTTTGCAACTGAGGTTGCAAAAAAAGTGAATCCGTTTGTTCCGCCCGTAATGAGCAAGTCCACGGTAACCCCTGCAGAGACAACGACACGTTTGCAGACGTCACACACTCAATGCCAATGTCGGCGCACGCTTCGCCACGCAGTTCGACGCTCGAGGCTCTTGCAGTGATCATAGACAGGAGGCGTCTGCAGGCAGTGGACCAGTGACCTGTGACCCCCGGACCTCCCCCCACACGCAGGGGGCTACGCAGCGGGGCCTACTGAGGATTAGGGAGCCTTGGTCTCCCGGTCTCTTTGAAGTTACGCGCGCGGACAACAAAAACAAAGGTGCCTCGTATAGCCTTAACAGGCTGTTGGGGCAAGCGCTTAGCGAGTAGCACCTGTGAAGGCCGGCACGGCACACGAGGGGCGGATGGCCAGCACCATGCCCGACCGCCTTTGTCTCCCTATTAATGATGTTTAAGACACCGCAATAGTCACAGGTAGTGGCCGTGATCGGGAATCGAACTCATGAACGGACACCCATACATACGCACGCACACAAAAATGCACACACAAATATAAATGAAAATGTGCGTGCGTGCGTGCGTGCCGGAGTAACAATCTCGTTAACACTCCGACGCACATGCACTCGTGTGGCCACGCTATCTAATTACACACAAGTTGTTGCAATAATAAATACAGAGGTCTTCCTTTTAACCTGGAACATAGTGGCTGGCACGAGCACACGAGGGGGTGGTGTCACTCCCAGACACCTTTGTCACCAGGTACTCGTTCAAGGCTGAGTCGACCTAGAGGAGATCCACTGCCAGTAGCGCTGATGTTCTGCATGTATCACAGATCTAAAACCACTATATCACTCTTGGTGCCAGGCTGGGTACACTTTGAGGATACAACGGAGGGTATGGCTTTATGCTTAATGGGACTGACCCAAGGACTGTGAGTTAGCAGACTGGGGTGATTGCAAATTCACCAGTTGTGGTGTGTGTGTGTATATAAACACCACACTTTCTCTAACACATACTAAAACAAAGGACCTCTGTTAAGCCTTACAGATTGTCAGGCACGTGCTAACACAGACATGTGCTTGCATACTCTTAACACAGTCAAACCCCTCGACACACACACCCCGTACAACAGCTGTCATTCACCACTAAGCGGCCGTGACGTCATCACACTTGTGCCAGGATAGGTGCACTATGAGGCCTTCACGTGAAATACGGAAGGTTCGCTGGCAGACCCGGGTGTTATGAGTTGACCGACCGAGATGAACGGCAGATGCACCACCTGTGCGCTCCCCACTGTGCCAACACGTGCACACACTCACAAGCGACAAGTGTTCACACAGAAGCAAATTGCGTCACGCCGTACGCAACGCTCGAGCGAGAATGCTGACAAAACATCCACACGTGCACACCGCAGAGGAGGCACGCACGCACGCACGCACCCCTCCTACAGGCCACCTGTGCAGCGACGAGCGAGTTAATCTCCCTGCTGACGTCGCTCTGCTCGGGACACCCATGGCTGCACGCGAGCGTAGCACTCGGCAAAGTCAGGGCCAGGTCAAGGTCGGTCTCCCTCGCGCGGCAAGAAATTGGGTGGCGCTCATCTCAATCCTGGTCACGCGCCGCTATTGCTGCAGACCGACCGCGTGCCTCTGTTCCGATTAGCACGGTTGGCTACATATGGTGCGTAAAGAAGTTCAACACACATACACACGGACTGCCCACACTTCTTCAGGCTGCTCATTCAGCACGACAGCACACGCTCGCGATGGGATAAACCGTCGCGAATCACGACGGTCTCGCGTTCATCTTGACCGATTAACCACCCATAACGCAGTGCGTAGGCGAGTGTCTGTGCGGGTGTTTCTATAGGCGTTCACAATCTAAACAGGGGTTGTGCCTACATAGTGCTTGGATGGGTGACCGCTATGCATACTTGGTTGCTGTAGGCTGTGGGGATACGTTATGGTCAGGAGGAGGGCATTGCAGCAGAAGCCACCGTTGTGCCGTATCGCTCCAAACGTCTCTGCTGGTACCCGCCTTCACAGAACCGCACTGGCCGGCGTGGTGAAGTATGGTCAAATGGCCCCACCCCTCCCCCGTACCAGATGGCGAGGCCGGGCTGCTGCTTCAGCACGCACACGGGGAGCGACGCGGCCGCCTGGAGATGCTCCCGCGCCTCCTCCTCACTGCCGCACACAGACACGGGGGGGGGAGACAAAGAGCCACAGAGTGAGAGACACAGAGAGTGAGAGAGACAGAGCCACAGAGAGAGACACAGCCACAGAGAGAGACACAGAGCAACAGAGAGAGAGAGCCAGAGAGACACAGAGTGAGAGAGACACAGCCACAGAGAGTGAGACAGAGCCACAGAGAGAGACAGAGCCACAGAGAGAGAGAGAGCCAGAGAGACACAGAGTGAGAGAGACACAGCCACAGAGAGTGAGACAGAGCCACAGAGAGAGACAGAGCCACAGAGAGACACAGAGAGTGAGAGAGACAGAGCCACAGAGAGAGACACAGAGCCACAGAGAGAGACACAGAGCCACAGAGAGAGACACAGAGAGAGACACAGAGCCGGGCGAGGTAGTTAACATCTCAACACAGGGCGCCCTGTGACCCCTTATCAACAAAACAACGTAGTGCCCTTGGAGATGACTGTACTCACAACTAAACAAGCGGGCACAACACCTCCTCCTTCGCATGTCCCCCCATATAAAAAGACAAACGTACTTAGATTTGGAAATAATTATTGTAAGCCGCTTGTTTATTTCGTTACTTATATTCTCCACAACAAAGCTCCGTGATTGTTCTGTGTTGTGTATCATATAGCTGCATGTTAAACTAGGACCCACGTCTAAGAGTCATTGTCTATAAAGACCGGCATTGGTTCCAGCGAGCCTGTGATGAGATGGTGAATGTCGAAACCGCTGGTGCTGAACCAGAGCGGTTGATATTATGCACCCCGAGAAGGCCGTGTGACTGATGAGATGCATCAAAAATATATATTTGTATGTGGAGCCACAGATCGGGGAGGGAGATTCACTCCATGTGTATAATGCTCATGTAAGCCAACTTACAAATCTAATAAACAAATACACTCCCATGGACTCGCGTGGCTAATTGATACCTTTACACAGAGGCTAACAAACACCCGTTGTTGTCTTCTGGGGTAATGCAAGCAACAGGAATTGGAGCCAATGGTGATTAAGCCAACATTGTAAACATATACTCCTAATGAGGTTAATAAGTAATGAAGGGTGTAATCAAGACACTGGCTTAAAGAATAATGAGGCTCACAGTCTTATACAAGCTTATCTCAGCAGCCACTATGCACTAAAAGTGTCTTTATTATTATGATGATGAATGTAGTCATCTTCCTGAATAGCACCTGCCACCAGAATGTGGAATTACCATTGCTGCACTGCTCCACGCTGATCTGAGATGCGTTGACTCTTACTTGACTTGTTGTTATGATTAATGCAGAACATTTGGGCAAGCAGACTGTGTGTAGCAATGCTGTGTAAATCTTGTCCGCAACTCCGATGAACACAGCCAACATACAGTACATACATTGGCGTGCGGCAGGGGCGCAGTGTTCGTCACGCTTATTTACAAACGAGGCTACTTAGGTTCGATATTTCCCCAAGCCGTGGATAGTTTCAGGAGCAAGTGGTATCTGAATCTGCCTCGGGTCAACTCGGCCTGAACCACGAGATATTGGGTTGGCGAGCGTCATGGGGGCCAGCCTCCTCACGCCCCACAACAGCAGGGACTCGCCAACAGCACTTGGCCATCACCGTGTGTATGGTGACTGGGGAGAGGAGAGGGGCGGGTCTTTGTCTTGCATTTGCTGTACACCTCCGCACGTATTTATTATAACAACCAGTGGAGAATAACCGCAGGCAATGATTGACGATATTAAGAAAGGAAGCTACTAAAGTAGTGCTCGAGTTCGGTGGCAGGAGAGCAAGAGTGAGATACAACGACTGGAGGGACACAACGGTGAAGCGCAACAACACACGTGATGATGTACATGTCCGGTGTTTGTATATTTGTGGGAAAAAATACCCATTCTGGTGAGTTTGTTAATTGGCCAAATCAGGGGCATTCACATTACTGTAAGAGATAAATATTCCACTTGCACCCCCCAAGACCACACACACACACACACATTACAAGCACACACACACACACAGTGGAATTATAAATACAAATTCCAAAATCCTAGTCTCTGGCCAGAAAGGCAGCCCCACCTATTTTGGCTTCAGCGCCTTTATCAAGCCATCAAGGGAACTATTATGAACAATGGGACCTTTTATATTTATCTACATTTCAGACTGATAAGCCACCCAAGTGGGAGTTGGAGCCACTGTTTAATTATTTGTTTTTGTGACTACAGATAAGGGACTGCCACAGTTGTCTGCAGCTGGCCAGGCCTCTAGCAATCTGCAATTATTTCGCCTTCACGTGAATCACTCGCGCAAATTTTGTATTGCCCCCGGACTTTTCTTTGGCAATCCACAGGGTTGGCCACCATCTGGAGGTAATTTTGCCATTAGGCTGTGTAAATCTCTCATTGTATGCAAGGCCCCACAAGGTGTTTATCGGGGAGGCCTGTACGCTATCGCTGCCCCAGCCACAGTTGTACCACGACCCTTTGTAAATCCACTGCTGGTTGAAGGCCTCCCCACGCCATGTCGGGTCATGAAGGTTGTTGACCAGATGGGGAAGGGTGTCAGGACCGGTTCAGATGTCACTCACCACCGACGTTCTCAAGCGGTTAAACTAAATCAACTTAGCCGTGGCCGGGAAAGAAACGTAGCAGGTCACTCGGTTTCGTAGCGCACTGTGCCAACCACTGCACCACCGCGCTCCAGTACCCAGCAATAATTGTAGAAGCAATGTTCGCTATCGTACACCAGCCTCGCAGCACGATGCTCAGAGTACTTCACTCACAATCGGGAGGCTGCGAGTTTAAATCCCGGCTGGGGAACGACTCGGCCCAGCGTCCCTTCGTGGTCGTTAAAACGAGTACTAAGTAGTGGCAAGCCAACAGCGGTCTTCCCATAGAGAGAACCGTAGCGTCAATGGGAATGTGCAATCTCCATCACTTGGTCAGGGGTCACCACCGGCGCAGGGTTCCACCTCACGCAGAGTGGAATTTATATTTAAAGGGACGACGATGATCTTGGCAGCGAGGTATCAGAATTAATATTACACCGATTATCTCAAAATAACGATGAAAACACTAAAAAAATGCCGATTAGGGAACACAAACTCAACCCGGGGCACAGTTTACATTTGGAACAGAAGGGCTAGACCTACACTCACGATCCTTAAAACAATTAAATTATGTTGTTATCGCAATGAGCAACTATGGAATGCTTACAAAACTTTTAAAATGCATCTTTAAAAGCAAGGCAATGCAAATCAACGCGGGCTTTCCCCATTATCGCCTTCAAGCCCACAGCTATCCTTCGCTGCCTGCGTTGCTTGATAACGACGTGAAAGCAGAGTGAGTAAACAGCTGTGGTGAGTAAACAGCTGTGGTGAGTAAACAGCTGTGGTGAGTAAACAGCTGTGGTGAGTGTAAACATCGCCGCCTTCTCTCCCTGCTCGCTCAAACGAGCACCGCGCAGGGGCCGCGAGTCAGCAACTGGACATTCCACATTCCCAGAGCGACGCCAGTCTGTTCACGCCACAGCTGTCGGTGGCATCACGCACAAGTTGTGCGCACGTGTGCTGAACTTCTTTCGCGCCGTATGTAGCCAACCGTGATGATCGCAGAGAAGATGGGTGTGAGCCGAGTCGATTGAACTTGCCACCTTCTCACTGCGAATCGAGCAGTTTTGGCTAACGACGCCACCTGGCAGGACTTGCCACCCTGGCAGGTACTACTTCATCAACAACTATTATTATAGTTGTACATCAACTACAATAATAGTTGATGTACTAGTAGTGGTATTATAGTTGCCATTTGGGCTGGGACAATTAACAGGGCTTAGCCACTCCTCCTCCACCCTAATCTCGGGTGCAGCCTCCCCGCTGCGTCACCTCACTGACGTCGTGGGGTCTGAAGCATGAGCGAGACTCAATCCCAGCAGGGTGAGCCTCATCTGCATGCGAACGAATGTCAAACAAACTGGCTAATCCGTCAACACAGGGCCTGGCTGTGACCAAGATAAACTTTGCTCGACTATCGAGCCCGCCCCCAATAAGTTGGAGTTATTGTGCATGTTTACAAACGCAGTGTGCGTGTGAAGAGCGAGGACAGAGTGGTTGGCGTGCCACGCATGTGATGTCAGAACCAGTCCTGGACCTCTCCTAGGTTGGCTCGACACTAAATAAGTTATTGGTATCGAGTGGAGACATCAGCATTGGAGAGACAAAGGTGGACGGCCGTGGTGCTGGTTTGAGCCCCGTTGTGGCATTAATCGGTACTCGCTAACTGCACTTGTTCCAACCGTCTATGCATGCAACACGGGGGACCTTTGTCTTTGTATATGCATCCTAGTATATATTTTTTTTATTTCGTGTGTACGGTGTGTGTCGCGCGTGCATGTGATGTCTGTGTATGGTATCTGCACACGACAACGTGTGTGTGCGTGGCGACTTGGTCTGCTTGTACACCACGCTGTGCGCGTGTGTGATGTGTTGCGAGTTGCAAAGTTCATACATCGTGTGCATGGCCGAGTGCCCTGTGCCAGCCTGAGTAAGTGCTCGCAAACGGCGCTGGGCAGAAGGTGGGGGTCTTTGTCTTCTTGGACGCGCGGCGTTTTCCCTGTGTGCTGTGTTGTTTGCTTGGGAGTGTACACTGTGCTGCCTACGTGTAGTGCAGTACATACGTGGCCATCACACGCCTACACAATGACCCCCCCCAGCAGCTGCCCAGGTACAATTCCTGCCCACACTGCACCAGCAGTAGCTGCCAATGCAGTTAAATCTTGTCCCTGTCTCCCTGGGGCAACTCAGCCTGAAACAGGTAGGTGCCTGTTGGCATTGATGTGCCCGAGGCCAACAACGGGCAGACCAAAACAGCTGGGACGGCGTTGTCACCCCACCACCCCTAAGTGCCGTGCCGGCCTCGACAGGCGCTCGCTAACAGCGCCCTCCACGCGGCACTTCCAACGCGTCGCTCCCGGGCCAAGCGACGCTGCGCAAAGCACAGCCGCCCCCCCCCCCCCCC